GGACAACGGAGCAACCAATGGAATCACCCGACCGAACAAATAATCGCGATCAAAGGTCATCCCCTGCTAGCAGCACGAATATTAACACACGCACAACACTACCCAACGCACAGCCGCCAACCCACCGCTACGCACTACTACGCTCCACAATAACGCACTGATGATGTCACCTCGATTGGTGATGGAACGCGAACAAGCCAACGACCACCATCTACGCTAACTGAGCTACCGACAGTGAAGAATCAGAATCAGTGAAGAACAGTGAACTAATGCTGCCCTTTCATTATTGTGACTATCCTGCGGGCCTTAACCGTATTCTTCAGGATAATGGAAAGTCTCCAGTTTGACAAACGTGAAAGTCAGGAAAGTTTGAAAAACGAACTGCAGCTTTGCAGGATGTGGAATTATGGGATGGTTCTTTCTTGAAATCGTTTTTCTTTTCTTTGTTTCTCTCATATGGAAGGCCAAATATGATGCGGTAAATGTTACAAAGATGATAACACGAAATTCTTAGCTTTGGTTTAGACTCACTTGATTGGTGTAGTCTCTGAATATCATGTCATCTTCAGGAATAATTTACTTTTAGGTAATTCTGTGCGTAAGTTTTCAGTTTTCTTGATTACTTTATGGTAATATAGTTTGGAAAAAAAACTTCTCAGCGTGTATCTTAAAAAATCGAAGAAATCTTCAGACAAATGATCCGAAGACTGTGTAGCTGAGCTTCCTGCCTGCAAGCTCTCCACTAAGTTAACGGTAATATTTCATCATGAAATCTTTCCAAATTCACCTGTCTTCATTCACTCGGCGTCATGTATCCAAGCACGTATTGCACACCACACGTCGAAGAATATGTTCGTCCACGTTCGCTTTGACACTGATCATTCTGAACCAGAGCAAATGTTCCATATTTTATCCTAACCTATAGTTTTCCTTTAGTATCACGCTACATAAGGAGTCACACGCTCATTAGAGGAATACTGTTCTTGGTTTACTGTTTAGTAAAATCTTTCCTACCACACGAAGCCTCATCTGATCAGGTGACTAAATAAGGAGGCTGGAAGTATTCAGGTAGATCAAGGTAACTGTAACCGTGAGCAAGCAGAATCAGTGGTTTATTTTAGCGAATAATTCCTGCTAATTTAAACTGGTGCGTACCTGTCACCTCCGGAGGGTTGATGGGTCTATCGACAATAATTTAGGCTGGATTTATGGCCCGGCGCTTTTGGTCTATAATATCTGGTCTGCATATACACATGCGTGGCGTTTATGTTGTTGGTTGCGCAAATAGCTAGGTGCTGCGTCGCAAGGACTACGCAGTTGGACTGGATTTAGTTCACAACCGCTTTTGTTGATGACCCTATACTGTTCATGAAGCATGCGATATATTTTCACAGTCACCTGAAGCCCGTGTTTTTTCTTGGATCAGGATAGATAGTGCAACACTTGTCGATGGATAGAACGGAGTTAAACATATTCAAAACACAATATCTGATTTATCTGACTGAAAGAAACGGTGGAAATACGTTCCGTAGCGTGAGGATGTTCCAAGAGCAGCAGGGGAGATACAAGCAGTTCTGGTAAATATTTGGCGAGCATTTACCAGCTACAGGAATGATGTGTAATTATCTCAGTTTTACAAATGCTTGAACTAGTCTATCAATTAGAAGAGTAGTAATTTCAGAGAGAACTTGTTTCATCCTCACAAGCAAAGTAACAATTTTGCTGAGGTGAACATTCGCTCGCCGATCAAACTGAACTTTGGTCTGGATTATGGCCGCTCGTGGTAAATTAAGGCCACAAACGCGAAAAAAGGCAAAAACGACGGTGAGCCATGACCAAAAGTGAAGCTCATGGTACAAAATGTTACTGTCTAACAGCGATTTGAAAACGCGGCGTGCTTCAAAATGGAATTGGATGTTGGGTAATGAATATTTAGGACCCCTGGGTTGAGAAACTTTTCAATCCCTCATAAGTATCCTGTTGTTTTATTTGCAGTAACCGGCTACCGATGAATTATTTCCTGTAAAAGGTGAATTTAGAAGGCCTCGCATTCGTTCAAGACAGGTGTGCCAGGTTGTGCTAATCGCGCTTCTCGGGATTTAACTAAACGGGATGAGGTGTCTGATGATCAGAACTTCAAACTAAACCAGTTAACATGACGACAACAAAGAATGGATGGACTATGAAAGCAAACAGGGTCTGCTGTGTGGAAACAGCCTCGGTTAGGGCAGATATAAAACCGGATACAACAACTGCCCAATCCGCTCCAAGTTGTGCGAGGAATAAAAATTTCTACATTAGCGAAATCAAGATATCTTCGCCGTTTTCCACAATCGGACAGGTACCCCACTTATATGAAGTATTACAAGCTGATATATTTGAGTGTGATGAAAAAAATAGCCAATTTAGCTACACATGACGGTCGTTTGTGAAACTTTTGATAAACTTCATTATATATGAAATCAGATCGACTGTTCAACTACGCCACTGATATACCACCAGAGACACACCATTTTTTTCCAAGCTTTTGACACTGCTACATGAAATAAGGTGGAAGTGAGAGATAAGACTAAAGTAAATTCATGTTTACCTATCCAAATTGCGATTCATTTGAATGAAGCCGCTTCAGATTTATCCAAGTTATGTTTGGTTGATCAAAGACGAGCTGAATAGTGAAGTCCTACGGATCCTTCGTATCATTTGATGAAAAAAACAAATCACACATGCCTAACGCAAATCAATCTTTCTATTTTATTTGATGCCACAAACACAGGCAAACAAGGAATAAGCGAAATTTATTACCAGTAAAGGTATATTAAGAGGGATTGGCAAAAGGAAAAAGTGAATGTTCCTTGCAAACAAATTTGGTTTTTACGAGAGACTTATCTGGAACCCAGCTGAATCTCTCGTTTGTAGTGTCTGAGACCATCACAACCGAGAGATTCAGCTGGGTTCCAGGCAAGGATCTCGCAAAAACCAAATTAGTTTGCAAATGAGTGTATATTTGCTAATTCCATGCAATTTGGTTTCAAGTAGAACACCAGGTTGACGGAAACCCGGGGACTGCGCCTACCTGATGAGCCCCGAGAAGGGCGAAACCGGTCGTGGGCTGTCGATGGATTTTGAGTAGTATACTACGCAGTGAATGTTCCTATTCAGGAGAAGGATGAGGATTCTAACGTGGAACTCACGTTTTTGCATTTGAATAAGGTTGACTGAATTGCATATATATATTATATATATATACATGTGTGTATTAAAAATCAACTGTGGATGGGATTCATCCCATGGTAACGTTTAGACTTCTGAATAAAATGTCATCACCAGTGTCGGGGTTTGCATGAATAATTCGGACAGAATGCTGGTTCACAATCCGATCATAGACGTTGGGCGTTTATCATCCTTTCCTTCATCGAAAACGAAACCCTTCCGCTTGTGCCTCCAAGGACTAAACACGCCAACTGCTAACCGGTTAGTTGCCGATTCGAGACTCCCTACAAGGTCTTTTGAGGTCAGTCCCAGCAACAGCTACGCTGTCAGCTACACTGTCGGAATAGATTGGCTGAAGGGATGAAAACCCACCCGAAAATTCCCAATTCTGCTACTAACTAAATACTACTGGCTACGCCTTATGAAGCCCTAAGTAAAGGGTGTGCAGCCGGTCTTGAAAACACACAGTGTTTACGCCTACCGTTCGATTTGCGGCAAGGACGTTCTAGTCGCGGGCTGGAAAGATGAAAAGCAGCAATTGTAAAGCCACTTCCATTGTAGCGGTGATACTACTGATGGGGAGGCATGGGAGTAGTATGTGTTGTTCATGGAACTTCGCTTTGCGTCCCTTTAAAAGGGGGTATCTGTTGCGGAATTTGTGGAGTCGCTTTGTTACCTTTGCTTGGACTTGAGCAATGAATGATTGGAGTCAATGAATATCCAGGAACGTTCAAGAGGATGCCTTCAGGGGAAGATGGGCGTCCAGTTTTTTGTAAATAAGATGCAAGTGAGAGGTGTGCTTCCCTGTCTATAACCGGTCAGTTGGCATATCCTAGTAAATAACTCCGCAGCGAGGGCCTTATTCTTTTCACTACAGGGACGCGTCGCATCTTGCTGACGCCAACACATGATTCATTCCGACTAATCCATTCTGCACTTAGCAATCTGTAGTTCCAAAGAGTGACGGCAAAAACCTTCAAGGCAAGGTCGACTGGACCAGCATAATTTCACCTTGAGGGGGGACCTTTAATGTCGCATGTTGCCACTTACCATTTACCATTATCCACGAATTCTCGGATAGAGGTCCGTAAATGGTGATCAAAAGATTGAATTCGAAACACGTTTGAATAATCTGTTACCATTTGGAGGTGATCCGGAATTTGATTGGAGCCATGGTAGGTAGAGATCGGATGACGGGAAACCTTTTACCGGTTCCAAGACATATTAACCCAACACATGTTTGATCACAAAAAACAACCCCATGGCGTCCAGTTTTAATTTTCCAGCCCATCCTGTGAACTACCTCCAAAGGTTCCGGGGAGAACCTCGTTCCGCGGGAGCAGTCAGTCAGTTTTGTGATGAAACGATTTTGGTTTGAATTTTACGAGTATATTTATGGACGACGATACAATGTTCTCTGCTTTTATCTCTCCCAACACCAGTACTGATATAATTATGCTGTAACGATGCTCCAGAAAGGGAGAGAAAACTTTTCGTTGGTTTCCATCGTTTTTTCGAAAAACCTGAAGGTGAATCTGTCCGATTTTGAGGTTGAATCTTCTGTGAAATTGTTACGAGCACGCAAAATACTTGCACGCTTTGATTTTCCCGAATCTTCTCGACGAAATCCTACGCGACGGTTACACGAAAATAATTTGAACAGGTTCTTGGGTTGTTAGACAGTGAGTTGGGGTCTGATCACGTACCACCGCTTGCAACGGTGTCCCTGGCCTGCTTGTGTGTGACGCTGAAATCACAGTGCTCTAATACGTATCAGAATAACCTGCTCTTCAGCTTATTTGGGTTTTCACGCACTGAAATGTTGGACCGACAAGTTCCGCAACCCGATACGGCCGAATAAAGCTGACTGAGTACCAAACGATTTTGTCGTAGAAGACATGTAGCCCTGAAAAATGCGATCAAACTGGATCCGGCGATAACAGTGGTACTTTCAATTCAGCTCGCATTTTGCACGTCATTAAAATGTCTTATTTGGAGAACTTGTTCGAGTAGTTAGTCTTATTTTCGGTGGTCACTGGTGGGTATGCCGGGCTGTGTGGCAGCCATTCTTCCCGTACCCATGGAGGTGCCAGTGAATTTTCCGTCAAAACAAGCAGCCCATCAATCCACCTGATCGGATTACTGAATATTTTGGCAGTCTTGAATTTAGACTGCTGTTTTTTTCTTACTACTATCATTTATTTTTGAAGAGCATGGTCACAAACATAAAAAGTGAGTGCAAGCGATGAATGCGAAAGAGTAACAGGAGAATATGGGAGAAAAGAGAGAAACGTCTCATTCGAAATCATGCCAAGGACAGTGCCAGTCTGATGAGGTGAATCCCAAAGTATGTAAAGATTTTGGTATGGGAAC